AAAAATATTGTCTTATAAAATTTTGTGTAGTTGAGAGTGGTGTTGCATGCAACTCAGGAGTCATGAGGATTGCAAGTTTGAGGCAACTTAATGATACCCTCTCTCAAAGTAAAGCAAAAGGGGCTGGGGATATAGCTCAACAATAGAGTACTTTCCTAGCCTGTGTGAGGTCCTGGATTCAATCCCCAGTAGCATTTGGAAACAATGGAGCATGGGAGGTGCTCCTATATTCCTAGGGCTTTGGACAAGAGGAAGGAGACCTTGGACATTTTCTTGAAGTTGCAATGGAATGAGATTCTGTGGCTCTTGGGAAGCAATGGTTGTATCCTGAATATAGGAGAAAAGAAAATAACTTGGGAAGAAAGCACCAGCTGTGGTAGAGCCCAAAATAATTTGCTAGTGTTCGTATTGGATAATCAAGCTTAATTTCCATCCCTTAGTCACTGGCTTCAATCTAGTGATTTGTTTGACTAGAAAGGCAGTAAAAGTGAGATTCTAGGATTTCCATAGCTAGGGCCAAAAGAATATAAAATCATGGTCTTTTCACCTTGCCTATTAGAACATTTTCTCTCAAGGTGATCACTTTCAGAACTCTGTCACTGACTGTGAGCTGTCACAGGGTTGTGGAAAGAACACATATAGGTGTTCAGATCTAAAATACATATGGAGGGCTGGCCAGATAGCTCAGTGGATTAAAGAGCCTGCTTAAGCAGACATAGGGGCTAGGGGTTCAATCCCTGGGCCTGCAGTGCTGGCTCTGACTCCAGGGCATGCTGAGATGGTGATTGAGACTGGGTGTGGTGGCACATGCCTGTAATCTCTGCTCTTGGAAGGCTGAACACAGGCAGATCACTACAGAGTCTGATCTATGTAGGGAGACCCTGTTGACCCTGTACTAAATACAAAAAAAATTTTAAATACATATGGCAAATATATGAATTACTGATCTAGATTATTGATTATAGATCCAGATTCTTCCATCCTGCTGTATAACATAATTATAGTATATTAAAGATTTAGTCATAGTATTTAAAATCTAGAAGGAACAGCTAAGTGGAATTACCCTAATCTGTGGAGAGGAGTACTTTTGAGGATAAAAGTAATGGGTAAGATCACAAAGCAAAATATTTTGGTAATCAAATTTGACTATTAAAAAATATTGTCTTATAAAATTTTGTGTAGTTGAGAGTGGTGTTGCATGCAACTCAGGAGTCATGAGGATTGCAAGTTTGAGGCAACTTAATGATGCCCTCTCCCAAAGTAAAGCAAAAGGGGCTGGGGATATAGCTCAATGGTAGAGTATTTTCCTAGCCTGTGTGAGGTCCTGGATTCAATCCCCAGCAGCATTTGGAAACAAAATCTACATGTAACAAAATGACTATAACAGAAAGAAATAAATACACAAAATGAATAAGAACTTCAAAAGAAAAGTGACAGTATATTAACAAAACATTTGAGGAATAATTATGCATATTGAAATGTCCTATGAAACACACTGGGATTGTGGCTTATAAGTAAAACACTTGCCTTTCATATACAAGGCCATTGAATTATTTTCCCAAACTAAATGGAGACAAAATCAACTGAAAGAAATGTATGCTCTTACTAGTAAAGAAATCTTTCCCACCTTGCAGGATGGGAGGGTGAAAAAAGTGAGAAGCCAGACACTAAAGAGAAGAAACCCAAAGCCAAGAAGGCTGCTGCCAGTGGTACTGGTAAAACAGGTAAAGGGAAGGCAAAAAAGTCAAAGAAGGGGCAGCTCCACTGCAGCCAAAGTCCTGGTCTGGTTATAGGAATTGGTAGATACTCCCAATCTGCTATGTTTTCCAGAAAGGCTTAGTACAAGAGAAAGTACACAGCTGCTAAATCAAAGATTGAGAAGAAAAAGAAGGAGAAAGTTCTTGCTACAATCACAAAACCAGTTGGTGGGGACAAGAATGGAGATATCTGGGTGGTTAAGCTTCAAAAAAGGCCTACATACTACCCTACTGAAGATGTGCCCTGAAAACTCTTGAGCCACAACAAGAAATCCTTCAGTCAGCATGTGAGAAAACTTCAAGCTAGCATCACTCCCAGCACCATCTTGATCATCCTCACCGGGTGTCACAGAGGCAAGAGAGTGGTCTTCCTGAAGCAGTTGGCCAGTGGTTTGCTACTTGTGACTGGGCATCTTACCCTTAATTGTGTTCCTCTATGAAGAACACATCAGAAATTTGTCATTGCCTCTGCTACAAAAAAATTGATATCAGCAAGGTGAAAATCCCCAAACACCTCACTGATGCTTACTCCAAGAAGAAGAAGCTGCAGAAACCCAGACAGTAGGAGGGCGAGATCTTCAACACGGAGAGAGATACCAGATTTCAGACCAGTGTGAGGTGGATCAGAAGGTGCTAAACTCACAGATTTTAGCAAAAATCAAAGCTGTTCTTCAACTCCAGGGCTACCTGTGATCTGTTTTTGCTCTGAAAAATGGAATTTATCCTCATAAATTAGTGTTCTAAATTTACTACTAGGAGCCTAATTAAATAACTGATACTTTTTTAAAAAAAGAAATACAAGTTTTTAAGTTTCTTTATTCTGGGCTGAGGAGATGGCTCAGTGGAATAGGCACTTCCCTTGCAAGTGCAAGGGTCTGAGTTCAATCCCCAGTTCTACAAAAAAAAAAGTTTCTTTATTCTATAAAACTGTTAATGAGTCAAACATAACACTGAGAACCCATAATGACACCGAAATGAACTATAGTGGTGAAGAGATTGAAGACTACAGTCATGCAGGCATGATTAAGAATTTCATTCTTAAAAAATAAATTTAAATCTCTTGAAATATGTAATAAATTGACAATTATTAAGCACTTAAAAATATGGAAAAAAATAATTTCATTCTTTGCATGTCATAGTTTTACAGACCCTACTCAAGTCATTAACCTTCTTGAGTAGCAATTTGCCTGTGTGTAAAATGGATAAAGAAATACCACATGCCTATATCCTGTGCTTGTTGAATTACTTGTGATCATGTACAGAAAATGATCAAGATGAATTAATTTATCTTCAAATATTAATGCCTATAGGGAAAGTAGGGTATCTTTGGTAGCAGATATTATGGATGAGGCACAATGGCAGCTGAACATGATATCACCTGCCTCATTTGAGACCTGTGATTTTTTTGAAGGGCTTGCCTAATATTAGGATTACTCTGTTTAATGATATCAGAAAGTTATATTACAATATTCTCTTGATGTCTTCTTTGTTCTACTTTTTCCTGGGACACAGACTGGGAACTGAATTGTCCAGCGCAAAGGTGGGTGTTCCCAGGGCACTCGCTGGACAGGCTGAAGTGCATGGCCTTCCAGCAAATGATTTTTAGGCACGCTCTTGAGATTCATATTGGAGAGCTCACCTCTGGGGAAGAGAGGCCCCCAGGTCCTCCAGGACCCAGCCAGAGTTGGCTGGAGCAAAGACTGTACTGAGGTTTGCTCTAATAAGCACCTTGGGAGATGGTATGTGCATGAGGAGCCTTTATAGCTCTTAGAATATTCTTCTCTTCTTGGGCCTGGGGACACTCAGGCCATGAGAGTAAGTCATACACTGGGTGTTCTTAATGAGAGCCAATAGAATCAAGGTTACTGACTCTGAGTCAGGAAAATCTCAGTGTAGTACTGAGAATTTTCCATCTAGAGGAAAGAATTGGAGACTTTGAAGATCCTGGCCATCTGCTCTGACACACACCTTCATACTCCCATGTACTTCTTTCTGGCCAATCTATCACTAACAGATGCCTGCTTCAGTTCAGCTTCAATCCCCAAAATGCTGGTCAACATTCATATCCAGACAACTGCCTCCTGGCTGTGATGGCCTGAATCTGATAGATACTCTGATAGGTGAGGATGTCTCAGGGGTAGGACAAATGCTTGCATACATATTTGAGCATGAATACACACATTCCTCCTAGCTAAATTATCAGGTGAAAGTTGCAAGCTATATAAAGTGAGTCTCTGCCCAAGATCCAAAGCCTCTCAAAGCTTTAAGAATAACTGGAGGTCTAAAATATTCATAGATCTGTCAAAGACCAGTATGAGATGCCTTCTCACATAATTTGCTCTAATCCTAAAAGAAAATCAGTGCTTATTTTCAGCTAAGAAAGCCTTGCATTAATGTTGTTCCTTTTCTGTTCCTCTGATAAAAATGAAACATCAGAGACATGGTATCAAGGTCTTAATATCACCTCCCAGAGAAGTTTTTGAAAGAAATGAAAAGGGGAAGAGGACAAGGATAGAGGATTTTGGGGGATAGCAAGTACTGTTTGTGAAACAGACATCCTAAAAGTGGGTGAGAGAGTGGGATATGACAAACACCCAACCCCCCACCCCACATGTGTTGTGATCCCAGTTAAGGAAATGGTCAGGACCATCCTGAATGGATGAAACAATTCTGTGAATAAGGAGACAAATGAAGAGGAACCTGCCTTCAAAAACATTTTCAGTCCTCACACAGAAAGCCATGGTGTGTGTGTGTGTGTGTGTGTGTGTGTGTGTGTGTGTGTGTGTTGGGTATGGGAGGGAGGTAATCATAAAGTTCCAACAGCACTGTTAGTGCCTACTCTTAAGCCACTTTTCTAATCTTGCATCCAAGACCATGCTTAATTCTCATCTCTTCCAAACAGGTTGCACAGACCTTGCTGATCAAAGAGCTGTCTCTTCTCTTCCCTCATAACTGCACAGAATATACAACTTTTAATGGATACTATCTTGACTGTTCTGTGAATGTCTCATGAGAATATTTTTGCATCTTCAGTGAGATCCTGAGATTATCATATATTATCAAGGATCATATATTCTTTTTCCCTCAGATTAATCCTGGCCATACAGATATGTATCCATAATTCGATCTGATATATATTTGTTGACACAAGAGAGGTTTCATTTACACAGGTCACAAGTACTACAAAAGATGGGAAAACCAAACCAACTGAACCAAACACCTGCTTCAGACTTCCTCCTTCTAGGACTCTCTGAGCGGCTAGAGGAGCAGCCTCTTCTATTTGGCACCTTCCTCGGCTTGTACCTGATCACCATGGCAGGGAATCTGCTCATCATCCTGGCCATCTGCTCCGACACACACCTTCATACTCCCATGTACTTCTTTCTGGCCAATCTATCACTAACAGATGCCTGCTTCAGTTCAGCTTCAATCCCCAAAATGCTGGTCAACATTCATATCCGGAGTCAGGCGATCTCCTATTCTGCGTGCCTTACACAGCTCTATTTCCTGCTTGTGTTTGGTGGTCTTGACAACTGCCTCCTGGCTGTGATGGCATATGACCGCTTTGTGGCCATCTGCCAACCACTTCATTACAGCACAGCCATGAGTCCTCAACTCTGTGTACTATTGCTGAGTATATGTTGGCTGCTAACCAACTGTCCTGCTCTAGTGCACACACTGTTGCTGACCCGTGTGGCTTTCTGTGCCCCCACCATAATCCCCCACTTCTATTGTGATCCCAGTGCTCTCCTGAAGCTTGCTTGCTCTGATACCCACATTAATGAGCTGATGATCATTATCATGGGCTTGGTGTTCCTCTCTGTTCCCCTCATGCTCATTGTCTTCTCCTATGCCCGCATTTCCTGGGCCGTGTTTGGCATCTCCTCTGCTGGCGGGCGATGGAAGGCCTTCTCTACGTGTGGTTCTCATCTCACAGTGGTTTTGCTCTTCTATGGGTCACTAATGGGCGTGTATTTACTTCCCCCATCAACTCATTCCACAGAAAGGGAAAGTAGGGCTTCTATTCTCTATATGGTGATCATACCTATGCTAAATCCATTCATCTACAGCTTGAGGAATAAAGACATGAAGCATGCCTTAGGCAAACTTTTCAGCAGTGGGAAAGCATTCTCCCTACCATGACAGTGATCTCTAATCTCAGCGTTCTGGTCAACCCCTGTTCTCAATACCTCAGTGATTCTGAGGTTGAGATGTGATTAAAAGAATATTTCAGTCCTTTGGAATGTGAAGTTCTTCTTCACTTGCTTACTTGATCTCAGTAAAGTACAATTACTACTAAGAGCCAAATAATGTGACATGCTCTTTATTGCCCAAACCAGAATAGGCCATCATGAATTCACGTCTATGAAGTCAGAGTCTGGGGCTGAGCACTTCTACCCAGTGAAGTAGCATGCAGTGAGGTCTGTAGATGAGAACTGAAATAGTCAGTGCCCACCCACAATGTTCCTAATTGTTCTTCACATCAAATTTTTGAATTAGACTTGTAATAATTAACTGTGACTTAGGATATAAATATTTGACCAAATCAAGTAAGTATGATTCTAATACTTGTTCTCTGTGTGTGTCTCTCTGTCTCTGTCTCTGCCTCTG